CCGAGTCAGGCGGAGTCAATAGCGGAGTCTTACGGTCATAAAGGTCATCCCGCGTCCACGACTCGAGGATGTCGCGAGCAGTGTGCGCATCCGCGTGCGCGCTGGCGACCCCGTCTTTGATATCGCGCAAGCGGCGGAAGGTGCCGTGCGTCAGTTCGGAGGTTTTGGTCATATGGACCCCTACCTGCTCGACGAGCCTCGACATGGCCTCGTCTAGTTCCTCGAGTCGGCTCCGCACGAGTTGGTACATCTTGGTATTGGTGACGTGAACCTGGCGAACCGAGCGAGCCGTGAAGTCCCCGACCCGCTTTAGATAGATCAAATCCTGCTGAATGTCGGAGCGTGTGCCTTCCGCGGATTCGTCGGAGTCGGAAGATGAGTCCGACATGACCATCGATTCATGGCAGTCGCTGTCCGAGTCGTAGGTGCCGGGTGGTGACGGTAGAAAGAGCGGGGCTGATGCCGGTCGATTGACGGGCCTATCATCATCGGTCGCGTGAGTATTGAGTCTATCCTGCATTCGGTACACGCACGGGAGCTGCTCGCCTGCGCCGGTGCGAGAAGACGACATAGCGATGTTCACCGGGCCTGGAACCCGGGCTTCGGCTTCGCGTTCGAGGGGGATGTAACGGCGGCCCTGTCGGTCGAGCTCTTCAAGCATGTAAGTCCAGAGACCGCCGGAGATGTAGACCTTCGGCGGCGTATCTTCACGATGCATAGCTGGAGCTCCCTCCGGCGGAAGCGGAGGCGATGGTAGGGGAGAGTGAGAGACGGTGATGAAGTCGCGAGGGTGTACGGGTGGTCGGGTAGACGTGAGTTCAATTGTATAAGTACGAGAGCGGGCAGCGCCGTCAGGCGTTGGCGGTGCGGACAAAGATCGGAAGATAGTGGGGTCGGCGTAAGCTAGGTCATGCATCATATGCGGGTAGCCAGGCGGCGATGCGGCGCGGATAGGAACCTTGATTCTGTCGGAACTCTGCGGATCCTCGCCGCGAGGGACGAGATAGCCGCCGTTATGATACCATGGCAGCTTGTGCTCGAGGGCCTCTCGGAGAAACGCGGGCCACGAGTTCAGCGCCGGCGTTTGGGCTAACTCGTTGATATGGAAGCCGATCGCGTACGGCGTCGGTGGACGAGTCCCGTCGGGGAGCTGCAGTCGAGCCTCCTCGATGCGCAAGCGTTCTATCGGCGGCGTAAGTTTTCGGATCCGTCGCCGTGTATACAACGATGGGCGCTTACCGAGCTGATCCGCTATGTTGCGCATAGTGAGGGGCGCGTTCGGAAGCACAGGCGACTGAGGAAGGTAGTCCCGGTGCAAAGGAGCGGCGACGAGTGCGTTCACGCGAGGGATACCGTCTGCGAGAGATACCGCGCTTCCTGGAGCCTCGGGTATGGTGATGACGAGCGGAGCTTCCTCTCTGATTGAGTAGGCATGCTCCTCCATCGTGGCGTCGACATCATCGACATTCGTCTGCTCATTCTGACCGGGGAAATCCTGGAGCGAGAGTAGAAGCCCTGGAATGTCTGCGTGGCGAGGTGCAAGACCTGGCGGGACTTCAGGCGTAGCGCACCGCACAGCGGCGGCTGGGTCGTTGAGGGGGAAGTCGAAGTTGAATGTCAGCGGCAAGCCCTCCCCGAAGACGATCGGGCGCGGGGCGGCGTCGTAGTTGTCGGACATGGTGAGCAAAGAGGTCGAATAGTTGTGGTAGTGTGGAGGTTGAACGGGGGCTCTAAAGATTCGCAAATGGATGGTTTCTGACGAGTCGAGGTCCATAGTACTCCTTATATACGTTACGGCGAGACGTTCGTCGACGAGCGCCCTCTTCTCGTCCTCCGATAATCGGCTACTCTTTCGTCCAATGAGTGTCGTGGGCTCGAGGGGGTGCGACAGACCTTCCGCTCGGACACCGTACTTGCGCTGTAGTTCCGTGATAGTCGCCAGTTGCGTATCGTTGCCGAACGTCGTGGGTGACATTGCACAATCCTGTCGGACTTGGTCGTCAATCCGAAGCCCGAGTACTCGGGGTACTCGCTCACCATGGACGTCGCCGTCGTACTCCGGCGGTGAAGCCTCCCAAACCCCTCTAGCATAAGCGAAGTTCTCTTCGGCCTCCATGGTTTCGATAGTGGTGCTCGACCGGGTTTCTGACCCATTGATCGGTCCTTCCGGGTTCCTACTGAAGAGTGCGTCACTGCTCTGTGCGTCTGAGTCCGTGCGTTCGACACTCAGCTCTGAGTCTGAGTCGTTTTCGTCAGCTAACGATATGGCGATATGCATACGCGCCTGTAGATTCTCGTGAATCTCGATAGGGGCTTCGAACATCCCAAAGACACGACTTACTTCAAACGCCGGAGGTACCGCCGCAGTCGTCCTGAGAAGGTCTTGCATTTCTTGCCAACCTGGCAAATCAGCTCGGCGCCGTGTCCAGATGCGGGGATGTTCGATATTGAGGAAAGTGATAACGACGTCGCGGAGGACCGATCCGCGCTCGTCATGCGGCCAGTTCGGAAGCGAAAGTGTTGTCGGGGCCGGCCTATCGTACGTTGGCGAACGCGACGGTCGGTGGTTCGGTCTCCTAGTGCGTTCCTGACGAGCCGGCGCTCCCCAGGTATGAGCG